ATGATTTTTATTTAGACTTAAGTTATAATTTTTTTCAGAATTGGCGATTTTTATTGCAAAATAAATACCAAATAACTTTTTGAAAAGTTGGTAACATTATTTTACACACTCCTACTTAATTCATGGAAGGAATAACATAGTGTATGTAATTTGCAAGCATCTCTCTCTAAATCTCCGCCATCTCTGCCTATGAATGTCGATAAGAGACTAATGTCCATTGCCATCAACATAGATTAACTTTAATCTTGGTTCAACTTACTTTTCGTCTTTTTCTCATTAAAACTAGAAAAAGATGAAGAATAAATTGAATCGAGATTAAAGTTAATCTACTTGATGAAACGGGTATAAAACTGCTAACTGTGAAATGCTAAATGGAACAATATTCATAATCCGTTTTAAAACTGCCTTAAATAATGTCTTTTAAGAGCATTGCTAATATAGTCTTTGGATCGACTTATGACATCTTAAAATTGTATTTAAGACAGCCTTAAATGCAAGAATTGACTGTGAATACTGATCTGTTTCACACACAAAAGAACACTATGGAAAGAGAAACATAAAATGCATTAAACAAGGAAAGATTCAGTACCAATTTCATGACGCGAAACAGATCGGTATTCATAGTAGATTCTTACACTTAAAAATGTCTTTTTATGCGCAGCACGCTGCGACAGTAAAAATATCATCCCGATAAAAAATTTTTCATATATGAATATGTATAAATATATATGAATATACAAAAACACGCATAAATATTCATAAACATGTATAATTAAACATATATAAATAAACATGTATGTGAAATATGTCCATACACGTTCAAACATTCTTCTTTTTTTTGTAAAATTTTTTAGTGTAATAAAAATAATAATAGTAATGTAAAAACATTAAAAATAATTAAAGGGATAATTTTCGCATTGTTTGTTTTAGAAAAAAACAAGTTTGGAAACATATAAAAAAATTGCTCATACATAATTATGCATAATTTTATACATAAATAATTTTTTTACATTTCTTTATTATTTCTATTACACTAATTTTACAAAATAAAAAAGGATGTACAAACATGTATGGACATATTTCATATATATTGGGTTGTTCAAAAAGTCATTGCGTTTTTTCCAATAGATGGCGTTGTCCACATTTATTTGTATACGAGCGTGACATGAATATCAAATATTTACGCGCGTTTTGTTGTTGATACTCAATCTAAAAACCAAAAAAAAAGTTGATGCAATTCGGTCGAGTTTTGTGCTTGCAATTGTGTCAAACATAGAGAATTTTGAAGAGCATATTCGCCATATCTCTTCTGTTTTATCATTTCAAAAAAGGGAAGAAAGCAACTGAAGCAAGGAAAAAGTTGCGTCGAGTTTACGGCAGAAATGTTAAAAAACGCCAATGCCAGAACTGGTCCGATTCCGTGATGGTGATTTTTCAGTCAAAGACGCTCATCGCTCCGGTAGGCCTTTCAAGATTGACGACGATGAAATAAAAGCATTGGTGCAAGCAAATAAACATTCAACAGTTCGGGAGTTTGCTATCGCTCTAAAAGTGTCCATTGGAAGTGTTCATGGCCATTTGAAATCACTAGGCTTCGTAAAGAAGCTCGATGTTTGGGTACCGCCTATGAGTTGAAAGAAATTCATCTGACGAATCGCATGAGCGTCTGCGATCAACTCATCAAACGCGAAGAAAACGTTCTTGAAGCGTATCGGCGACGAAAAATGGATTGTTTATAACAATGTCAGCCGAAGGAGGGTGAAGCGAGGTGAAGTACCGGAAAGGCAATCAAAGGCGGAGATCCACCAAAAGAGGGTAATGCTGTGGTGGGATTGGAAGGGGGAAGTCTTCTATGAGTTGTTTCAAAGAACAAAACGATTAATTTCGATGTCTACCATGAGCAGATGCAGAAATTAAGTGATGCCATCGCACAGAAACGTCCCGAGCTAATCAATCGGGGTATAGAGTTTCACCACGACAATGCGAGACCACACATAAATTTGGTCACTCGGCAAAAATTGTTGCAACATAATTGGGATGTGTTACCACATCCACCGTATAGCCCAGACCTTGCACCATCAGACTTCCATCTCTTTCGATCCTTGCAAAACTCCTTGAATGATAAAACGCTTCTGAAGACCTCATCAAACAGCACCTAGACAAGTTTTTCGCAGAGAAGGATGGGAAGTTTTATGAACATAATATTGAAGTTGGAAGATGGCAGAAGATCATCGAACAAAATGGCCAATATATCATTGATTAATGTTCATTACATATATTAAATAAACACACCTGAAAATAAAATGAAAAAAACGCAATGACTTTTTGAATAACCCAATAATTATACATGTTATGAATATTTAAGGTTGTTTTTGTACGTTTATATATATTTATACATATTCATGCATGAAAAATTTTTTACCGGGACGTAATGCAAATTTTTCATAATTGCTTTCGCTTCATTGGTTACGCAGGAAAGGAATAATGACAATAGCATATGTTAAAGTTTAATCTCAAATATGTATCTTTTATTTGCTTGAAAACTAATATGGAAAAGATAAAAATTTGTGATTATATGGCAATTATACATATAATTATTAATAAGGTGTATAATTGTTCAAATTGTAACTACATTAAAGCCGGAATCAGAGTACGCATTGGAGATTGAGATTAAAGATTAAATATTGAAATTTCATCAATGAAAACAAAGAAGTTTTGGCTCCTTTTGTTCTGATTGATCAAATTTTAATCTTTCAATCTTCAATGCGTAATCTGATTCCGGCCTTAGTGCAGTTACAATTTGAACAATTATCATTTCAGGTAATTATCTAGAATTTAGAATATCCCCATTACTTCAAATCTTAATAAAAATGTACAATGAGTACTCATTATATGTACTCATTGTAAATGTACTCAATTTTCACATTTTTTGCAAATATTGCAGATTTTCTCGACTTTGAATTCTTTGCTGCTCGTTGTTCGTTTGGTTGAACTTCAATGATGCGGCAAAATGTATTTTGCGTTGGAAGTGCACCATCTCAAGTAAAATTTTTAACCAATAGCAACGAATTGCTGCCGCAGTGTACTACGTATGGAAGTCATAAGTCAATACAAGGGCAGTATTAGCACTTAAGACAGTTTTAAAATAAACATAATTTAAGACAGTTTTAAAATAAAAATGGACTGTGAATGATATCGCCTCATGTTTCACAGTTGGTCACCTCAGGCCACGGTCCGATTCACACTCACAATTGTCAGTGGCCTAAGGTTTGTTTGCGTCGCATACTCCAGCTTGCTCCAATGTGCATCTGCTATAGCTCCTACTTACTTCAAGCGCGTAGAGTGAGTAAATACTATAATAAGAGCATTTTAGAGCATATTAGAGCATGCGATGCGAACAAACCTCTAGTTTCCATCGAGGGGAAATGACAGGGGAATACTCGAATACTGTAGTTGGTTGATTCTTACATTTTGATCCGGTTTAAACCTTCGATGGAAACTAAGCCAATGCTTACGATATTAACCCGGTAAAAAATGTTGCAAATGAAAATGTATAAATATGTATAAACATACATAAATACGCATAAATATTCATAAATGACACCTGTATAATTATATATGAAATATATCCATACGTGTTCATCCTTTCTTCTTTTATAAAATTACTTTTCAGTGTAGTAGAAATAATAATAGTAATGTGAAAACATAAAAAATAATTAAAGATATCATTTTTACATTTTTAGCTTAGAAAAAAACAAGCTTGGAAAAATGTAAAAAAATTGCTCATACATAATTATGCATAATATATAATTACATATAAGTAATTATATATAAGTAATTTTTTTACATTTTTTCAAACTTGATTTTTCCTAAAACAAATAGTACGAAAATTATATTTTTAATTATTTTTAATGTTTTCACAATACTATTATTATTTCTACTAAAAAATAATTTTACAAAAGAAAGAAGGATGTATGAATACGTATGGACATACTTCATATATAATTATACATGTTTATGAATATTTATGTGTATTTATGTATGTTTATACATATTCATGCATGAAAAATTTTTTATCGGGAATGGTCAATCCGAAACACAAATAACGTGCTAAGGTTCTTTTATATTTGATCGGTCGTAAGCACAATTCATAAGTTGGAAAACATAACCTAATACTGAAAGGTAAATGAAAAACGTATGTATAATAATAAAAGAAATAATATCAAGAATAAGAGTAAATATTAAATACTAGAAAAAGAAAAAATTAAGAATAGAGATTAAACATAACGCACAATAAATATAATTAATAATAAAATATGATTCA